TGCACAAGAGGTAAAAATTAGGAAAGAAAAAGTAATAATAAATACACTTTGCTCCAGGTTTAACAGCCCAGGGCGATGGGCTGAGATCCGCCATTCTCCCTCCCTTGCAGGGTCTGTTGGGGGGTCGGGGCTCTCAGGCAAAGTGATGCAGAAAGTCCTGCACTTTCATACCACTTCTGCTGCCAGTGCTCCTCGTTTTGGCTGCTACAGATGATCCACAGCCAGGGCGGTGTGGGAATGGTGAGGAAGGAGTGTTATCCTGGAGGATGTGGGTATAAGAGCTGAATGAACAGAGCCAGGCATGGCTCAGCATCTGTACGGGCAGGGAACGGAGCTGGGGAAGGGGCTGGAGCCCCAGGAGCGGCTGAGGGAGCTGGGAAAGGGGCTCAGCCTGGAGAAAAGGAGGCCCAGGGGGCCCTTGTGGCTCTGCACAACTCCCTGCCAGGAGGGGACAGCTGGGGAGGGTCGGGCTCTGCTCCCAGGGAACAGGGACAGGAGGAGAGGGAATGGCCTCAGGCTGGGCCAGGGGAGGCTCAGGGTGGATATTGGGAAAATTTCTGTGTGGAAAGGGTGGCACAGCTGCCCAGGGCAGGGGGGGATCCCCATCCCTGGGTGCCCCTGGGCTGGCACAGCAGAGATTGGCCAGTGAAGGAGAACAGCACAGCTCTGCTCTCAGGTTTTGTGGCCGCTGTGGTGGCCACAGAGCTGTGGGCTGTGACCCCAGGGGCAGGGGGGTGTGGGGTGCTCAGTGTCCAAGAGGATCTATGGGCTCTTTGGGAAGGCTGCTCTGCATTCATCCCCTGGGCTCTGATGTGGTGACCCTGCCTGATGAGCAGCAGGGCTGAGATAGAGAATTGTCATCCCATCCCCACCTAAAGAGGAGAGCTCTCTGGATTGCTGCACTTCTGAGAGTGGGCAGAGCCTTCAACATTTGTTTTGGGGAAAAATAGCACATTTTTTAAATCACAAACAGCTGCCTGTGCCTGGAAGGGCAGTGGGGGCAGGACATCCCCAGGCACCTCTCTGTCAGTGTGGCAGTGACAGGGCTGCACAGTGGTGAACGACCTGCCTTAGCTCCCAACCACTGAGGGACAGAGGTCCCTTCTTTCTAAAGATTAGCCCAGCCCTTTGAACCAGACCAAAACCTTTGTCAGGAGAATAAGTGGCAGTTTATAGTTGGTCATTTCCAGACCAGCCCAACAGGGATGGTTTGGTGTGAGGGTGAACCTAAAATGATAACACTGTATGGAGTCCTAGAAGATCCTGAGCTGGAAGGGATCCACAAGTGGCACTGAGTCCAACTCCTACATCCACAAAGACTGAGGACATTCCTAGGAGCAATGTAAGAACTCTCCCAAACCGACCTCATCACCATGGACAGCAGCTTCCAGGAGGGAAGAGGTCCCAGCCCATCCTGTCTGTCCTTTCCTAGGAGCAGCTCAGCTGAGGGAACTCCTGGCTGGCACTTCCCAGGTTCCCCCAGCTGCCTGGGACACAGACAACACTCCATGTCCTCATCCTGGGAACACCCAGCTCCCAGCCTGGCCTCTTCCTGCCTGACAGCAGCATTCCCATCGCTTTGGCTTTGGCTCTTCCTCTTAAGCTTTCTCCAACAGCAAGGAATTTGGGAAGAAGCATTGAAATGGAGCTCCCTCCAGGAAAAAGAACCTTTTCACTTTTCTTCTCCATTGCTGGGAATTCTGGGCTCGCTCTGGTTTGGATGGAGCAAACAAGGTTCATTCTCAGCTGTAGGTGTCATCTCCAGGGAAGCTTTCAAACCTCCAGGAACTCTTTATACCAAATATGTTGCTACTTTTATCTGACGTTTTTCTGATCTGCTGCTAGCAAGGAATCCTACATGTATCATTTCCTAGCTCTGGTTGCTCTAATATGCTCAAAAAGGAAAGCGGAAGGCATTAAAGCAGTTCTGATACTTGACAAACAGATCTGATTCTTTATTTACGTGAGGCTGAAGATTTGGCTGACATTTTTCACAATAAAATAACATAGAAAATATTCATCTGGATGCCATGTTCCATTTTTAAACAGGAGATTCTAAAGAAAGTTCTTAAATTCAGCTCAGAAGTTTGCTGTAATCACACACCCCAAGTGCAGAAATGGGAACAGAGGTTGCAAAGGAGAACAGACCTTTCTCATTTCTGCTAAGGCAGAAAACTTGTGACAATCTTCCTTAAACTCATTCTCCTGCACGGTTTGGGCATAGTCCCCCCTGAGCTCAGGGTTTGTGCCTTTATGAAAACAACTCACAGTGATTAATTTTTTTTGTATTTCTCAGTGCTCCTTGGTTGAGGTTTCATTCATGAGCTGATGCTCAGTCCTGCAAAAGGATTATTATTCATATGGATGCTGGAGGTGCAGGGAAATACTTTTTACCTTCTGGTGTTACCAAAGGCTATTTGTTGTGACAACTGACTGCTAATTAACCATTTAATGGGTTAATGGTTAACATTATGTGCTGGGTTAACATAATGCATAATGGTTAACACCAGCATGTGCTGGGCCAGGTGGGACAACTTCTGCACCTTTATTGGGGTACTGAGACATTTTACCAGGAGAGCAACAATTAAAGGTGAATGAAAACCATCATGATTCCATTCATTGTCCAAAAATAGTGACTACACACTAAGAAGGTATTGGGAAAGCATCAAAATACACAGAGAAATCAGCAGAAAAGAATCAACATTTACCCAGTGCACGTGTGTTAATGGGCACTGGAGGGTTTCTGCAATATTCCATGTTTTTTTCAGAGAAAGGAAAGGTTTGAAATCTATTTGTGATATTCTAAGAAAACTACATGGATTCAGCAGCTGGGGCTTGACGAAAAAACATGAGGTATCAGCTGACTTGAGAGGGAAGTTGTGAGAGTTACAGACAGCAGGCATTCCCAGGCAGACAGGCAGCAAACATGCCAGCTGTGAAATCCCTGACACTTCCAAAAGCTGTCTCCTTTCCACGGATACTGATAGCATGGAGAACAAAGAGCTCCCCAGGCTCAGGGTGGGTTTCACTGGCACTCGGTGGCTTTGCAGGAGGCACTCCTGCCTGATAAAGTGAGGGAAGAGCTGCCCGTGTTCCGCACAAAGCGGGGTTCGTTTGGATAGAAATGAGCTCCGTGCCACAGATAATGGGTTATTATTGCACTCCCTGGATCTCCATTCATCCCCAGCCCATGTGACTCCAGCTACAGCCAAGTCAGTTTGAATTAATTTTTCAAGTGTGGCTTCATGAGACAATGCATCAGATGTTTTAATAAAACTCAGACAGGCTGCTGCTATCATGGGCCTTTCATGCACTAATTAGGGGCTTCTATTATTAAAAAAACACAGCAATCAATCCTTCCAGTAATGTCTTTTTGTGATTCTGATACTCACACTTCCATCTTCCTGCACGTTTATAGATTCCTGCCTTTAATATTTAACGTGTAGTACACTGGTTTGCCCAGGATTAGGGGTGTATCACAGCTCCACTCAGCTGAGCTTTGAGGGGGTTCTCACATCTGCTTTGCTTCCCCCACTCCTGCCTTGCCTCTGCTCTCTAACGGAGCACAAGAAAATGTCAGTGGGTTTGTTCATTCCTGAAATACACTCTGTGCCCTTCTGGCTCTGTCAGCTGCGTCCCGTGATTTGCTGAAGCTCTGCTTTTGCCTTAAATGCTGTTCATTAACTTCTTTTGTTTCTTCTTCTCATTCTCATTCTCAGTATTTTCCCAATATGACAGCCCAGTTTCCATGAGGATTTAAAGCATCTCTGGCATTTCCAGTCACTGGAGTAGCTCCACAATCCACCTGACCTGTCTAAATTTCCTGGACATGAGGTTCTCAGTGATCCTGGGCTGTCATTCTTTGATCAGGCTTGGGCAAACGGAAGAGGCTTGATTTTGCCTTGTCCTGTGGAAAAACCATTTTCTCAAAAGTGTGGGGATGGCAGAACTCACTCCCAGGTACTGCTGAGCAGCAAGGGTGGGGTTCAGGCTCAGGGACACTGCTGAACTGCCCTGGAGCTGCCCTGCTGGGATGGGTCTGGCTGCAGAGCTCTGCCAGGGTGCACAAAAATCCAAACAACGAGCCCAGGACTTGTTCCCATTGTGCTGGGAAAGGTTCCTCACCTGCTCAGGGCAGGATGGAGCTCAGGGATATTTGGGGCAAATGTTTCAGGAAAGAGTCTGGGCTGGATGGGGAGACAGAGGAAGAAATGGATACTCTGGGTCTGGTCAGGTGCATTCTCTGATCTGTGATGGGCTTAATCCTCACCTGGACCAGGACATGGACCTGGCCTGGGAAAGTGGCAGCAGTGCTGTGAGGGACCTTCAGCCTGGGACAGACAACAGACAAGTCCTGGGTGATATTTGTGGTTTGTCCCCACCCCTGGGGCAGGAAGGGCTGTAACACAGAGTAACTGAGGCCCACAGAACTTCTCAGATCAACCAAGTTCTCCAGAGGTATGGGGAGCACAAGGCTGCTTTGGACACTCACACTGGATCCATCTCACTCTCACCTGGGGTGTGTCCAGCAGCTTTCCATGTCCTTGCCGAAGGAGCTGGGAATGCTCCCTGGGCACTGCCACTTTCCCACACATCCTTCTTAAGAACAAAAGGTTTCCTGGAAATTCCCCTACCCTCCAAGCTCTCAGGCACAGCAGTCTGGTTGTGGATAACAACTTCCTGTGAGCAATGGAACCATGGAACCATGGAATCAAAAAATCAGGGAATCACAGGCTGCTGTGGGCTGGAAGGGATTTTAAAGGCCATCCCATTCCACCCTCTGTCATGGCCAGGGACACTTTCCAGTATCCCAGGGTGGTCCAAGCCCTGTCCAGTCTGGCTTTGGACACTTTCAGGGATCCAGGGGCAGCCACAGCTTCTCTGGGCACCCTGTGCCCACCTGTTCCACCACCCTCACAGCCAATATCAATCCCAATATCCCATCTATCCCTGCCCTCTGGCAATGGGAGCAATTCCCTGTCCTTGTCCCAAGTCCATCTCCAGCTTGCTTGGAGCTGCCCTTCAAGAAGATGAATGTGACAGAACCAGGACAAGTGCTATGACGTGGTGACAAGAGGGGACACCTGTGCAACTGAGAGACCTCCTGTGGCAGACGCTCTGAGAGCACAGTCACAGCTGCTCCCACCTCACAGAACTCGGTTATTTGGGGAAGTTTCAGTGTGAGCAAATGAATGACTCAGCATTATTCCAGTGAACAGCAGAACAGCTCCATCTCTAATAGAAACAACTCAAATCAATTAACAAATGCAACCCTGAGTAGCTCACTTGCAGGTATTTAATATTAATTGCTCCATGGAACTGATAAATCTTTAGAGAAGAGGCAATTAGCTCTACTGCAGCTCAGTAATTACTGACTTACTCTCCATGATATTTCAGTGGAAGCTGGAGAACAGAACTGCCAGAACTGGCAATAGTGAAGGCAGCAGGACCTGCAAAAGCAGCTCAGCTCAGAGAACGAAACCACCCAGCACTAAATGTGTGTCCATGTGCCCAGGACCTGCACTCTCTCCTTGGATGCATTTTGCCACCAAATGCAGCTTTTTTGAGTTGCCAGACCAGATTTTCCTACCAATTTTTCCCACTGAGAGATGGTGGTGGCATCTACCACCCAGATGATAGCTTTCCCTTGGGTCTGTGTGAGGAGACTTGTTCTGGCAGCTTGGTGACCAGGATTGGGCTGTGAGCAGAGGTGCCAGTGTGGAGCTTTGCTCACAGTCCTGTGCAGTGAGCTCTGGAATGAGCAGGGAGGTTGGACCAGATGATCCATCCAGCCTGACCCATCCTGGGATTCTTTGAGAGTGAAGAAGGTGCTTGAAGCTCAGCCCTTTGGTCATGGAGGAGCTGTCTAAGCTGGCCAATGGAAATGCAGGAGAACTTCCAGTGCTGGAAAACAGTGCAGGATTTGATCTTTTTAGCCCATCTGGAATGGATTGCCAGAACTGGGGTTACTGTGGGGAAGATGTTGCATCCAGCTGCAGCCTGGGTATGCCATCCCCCTGGACGGAAGCTTTCAACTACTTTCCTTGGAAGCATCCTTTATCCTCAGGCAGCTGTTGTGCTCCAGGCCCTGCTGTGGTGTCACAGGCTGCCCATGGATGACAGTTTGTAGTTCTTCCTCAAAGAGAACCTTTACCCAGCCCTTATTCCCACAGAATGGGAAAAGGCCCAGATGAAGCTTTGGTTGTCTTCATATGTTTTGGTTGTGGAGTTCCATCTTCTGAAGGGTCTTTTTGAAGTTGCCCTATCAATTTTGCCTTGCTCCTGTCTCTTCAGGAGCACCCTGGGGAGTGGAGTCTTGTCCTCCCTGTCCAGGTAAGTGCATCCAGCTCTGCATTTGCAGGGGACCAAGTCCTGGAAAACCAGCTTGGCTTAGCCTGGGCTGTTGCAAGGTGCATCCAGGATGGCCTATGAGATCCTTTTCCCTGGAATCAGTGTCACCTGAAGGACTTGTCTTCTGAGAGCAGTGTCTTTGGCAGATTTGTGAACCAGCCTGAAGCTGAGCAGGCTGCCAGGATGAGCTTGTAAAGATCGTTTCCCTGAGGGCAAATGGATCCTCCTGCTTTGGCCCTGTTTGCAACACATCCTGCACATGCCAGAGCCATTCCCAGGGCTCAGGACAGCTCTGCTCAGGCTTGACCTTGCTGTTCCAGCCCTGGCTTATTGGTATGCTGCGAGCTGGGCACAGAAATGAGTGGCTTAAATGCAGCACCATGCAAGGAATACATTAGAGAGACTCACGGTGGAACAATGTCCCCAAAAATGGGCACCACAGAGCACACAGACCTCAGCCCTGCCTGCTGCACTGACTGCTGAAAACCTGCCTGAACTGGGGACAGTCTGCTCAATAGAATCTCTGAACTGCAAAGGCTGAGAGACTGCTGTGACGGGCACAGAAGGCACCAGATTTTCCCTGGGTACCCCTGGGGCATTAGGATTATGTCCATTGTTGGTAGCAGCACTCTGGCAAGGCACAGCCCCTGGTGTGAATGCTCTCCACACTCCACACACACAGCAGGCTCTGGTTGGGTGCTGTGTCTGAGAGCTGGGCAGGCTGTGCACAATTCCTTCCCCACAGGGAGCCCTGGGATGTCAGAGCCATGCCTGTGCTTTGGGCACACCTCCAGTGCTGTTCCTTCTCCAGAGAGCGGAAAGGGTTCCTTCTGGCCTTTGGCCCTGGGAACAGAATGGCTACCGGGATCTATTTAGCCAAGTGGGGTTTGCTGAATTCCATGGAGGAGAGCTCTGCAGCCTCCGGGATGGGAGCAGCCAGTGCTGAGGAGGGATTGCTGCCTGCACAGAGGCAGCAGGGGCTGGGTGTCCTGGGTGAAGGTGCCAGGGAGGCAGAGGAGGGAGCTGAGGGTGCTGCAGGGTGCGGTTGGCAGGGTTTGTGCATGCAGGACACGGAGGGACCTGGCAGGTCCTCTGGCTTGTGGTGACATGGAGTTTCAGGTCCTGGGACAGTGGCAGTTTCATTAAGGAACACTGGCAGGGATGCTCAGGTGTGTGTAGCCAAGTTCCTGCAGGAAGATACCAGAGTGGGGCGGGAGCAGAGCTGTGTGTGAGGGAGGGTCTCAGAAGCAGGGCAGGAGCCATAGGGTGAGGTTGGAGGGCAGGGAGGAAGGACCCCCATGCTGTGGCTGTGGACAAAGGAGGCAGAGGCTGCAGGGACAGGGCAATGTTTGTGCTGGTCATCCAGGGCACACAAGGGGCACAGGACCCACTTTCCAGATCTGGTTTGCTCTGGTTGTATTTATTAAGAAAGCAGACAGTAATTTTTCCTTTTTCATTCCCCCCAGTTGCACTCTAAGCAGCTTCCGTAAGCTCAGCCACCTGTGACATCTCTATACACCAAAGGTGTTTCTCAGAGGAGCTGGGAAGCGCTGCAGGAGTCTGGAACTGCAGGTCCTGTGGGTGCCAAGGGTATGGATCCAGCTGGCTGTGGCCGCCACAGGGAGCTGGGCTGTGGGGCCAAGATCTGGGGGGCATCTCCTGTAGGGATGGGGTGAGCCATCTGAAATGCATTGTTTATCCCCGGAGGCATCCCAAGAGGAAGATGCAAATTTGAGTAGACTGAGGTCCTTCAGAAAAAATGTGCCAGTTTTCCCTCCCACAGCAGCTGACTCTGCCCAGAAATGCCTCACCTATCCCAAACTCTGCTCGTGCAGCAGACGAAGGTCCTCGTGAGGGCCCGGGCACACAGGTGACAGATGGCAGAAGTATTGTGGGCCTGACCCACCTCTGCCTCTTCCCGTTTTTTACCAGCCAGGCTTCTCCCGGTTGAGGAGCAGCTGAGGGCATTTGGAATGTTCAGCTGGAGTAAAGTAAACTGAGCTCAGACCTCCCAGCAGCTCCTCCCGAGGGGCAGCTCTGATCTCAGCCCTGGGACAGGGACAGGAGCCAGGGAAGGGCTGGAGCTGGGCCAGGGCAGGCTCAGGCTGCAGAGCAGGGCAAGGTTCTTCCCCCAGAGGTGCTGGCACTGCCCAGGCTCCCCAGGGAATGGGCACAGCCCCGAGGCTGCCAGAGCTCCAGGGATGCCCAGGGTGGGGGTGTTGGGGGTCTGGGCAGGGCAGGGGCTGGGCAGTGATCCTAGCGAGTCCCTTCCAGCCGAGGGCATTTCACAACTCTGGGTCGCTTCCGGAGCTGTGGGGAGCAGCTTTGTTCTTCCGACTTCAGTGTGGGGCTCCCCTGTGGCTGCAAGGAGACACCAGGAGCTGCTGAGACCTCCCTGGGCACATGGCACACTCTGCTCAATGAATCCCCGAGGCGCAGAGGGAGTGACCCCAAAACAGTCCCGAGGGGGGCACTGGGGGGCTTTGGGGCTGAGGATGCTCCTTTCAGCTGGGTCTGACCTCCCTGGCAGGGATCTCCTGGCTGTCCTTGCTACCGGCAGGATGCTGCTGCCGGGCCATCCCTGCAGCCCCTGCTGGAGTGGGGAGCGATTAAAGTCCAAACGCAGCCCCTGGCCGAGGGGGCAGCGAAAGCGGAGCCAGCAGCCCCCTTTAGGGGAGCTAATTAGGGGGGCTGTAATCAGCGAGGTGCAGGGGAGCGCTCCCGCGGCAGTGCGGCTCAGTTGCTGGAACAGGCCAGAAGATGTAGCTCTCTGGCACCTCTTGTGCCTCCAGATGTCTCTGAAGCCCTCCCTCCCACTGCTGCAGCGCTCCTGATCACAGCCAGGCAGCGCAGGCTACAGAGACGAAAATAGGCTGGGATCGTGAACCTGGCAAAAGTTTCCAGGCGAGTTTTAATCCAGTTTGAGAGGAGATCTGGGGCTGAGCACCCAGAGGTTTCTTTTCCTATCAGAGGGGATTTAACTGATCCCATCAAGCCCTCCCATCAGCCACCGATGTGATTAATGTCTCCTGTATTGTTACAAAGTGATTCCACACTGTAGATCTTTCTGAATGCCCCCTGAATTTATTATTTGCTTGTCCCAGTTGCTATTGGTGACGGCCTTGGTAAAATCCCTAGCAACATATAGAATGCAACATACATGGAAATTAGTTGAATCCTTTTCAGTATTATAGTTATAAAAGGACCTATTTATTAAATATATGGCTTAAGTGACACCTTAACAGCCAGAGGTACTAAATGACATGGGTAACATTCATTTGTGTGTTGGTACATTGGTATGATAGTGCTCCAGCTACACTGAACTTTATTACCAACATCAAATTAAGATATATTGTGGGTAACATCATTAGGGCTGCTTGGACTGAACTGAATTTAAATAATGTCTTTAAGATGCAGATTTTTTCGACGGCTTCAAAACGCTCCCCAACTAATCCCCTGTGGCCCAAAAGTGCCAGCCATGAGCAGAAGCCTCCGTTCAGAGGAGTGTACTGATTTAATGATGTCCTTCTGCTGAGATGAGCTATGGGTCCTGAGCAAGACCTGGAAGATGCTGTTGCACTGAATAAAAATTCCTGGGGTGCAAGATCAGTGTTTTTGCAGAGATGAATGGAGATCTCACTGCTTAACTCATCACAGGGAAGGTGCCAAGATCACAGGGAGAACATTTCTGATTTGGGCAGCTCTTTAATGCCACAGCCAGAGAAAGAACATTGGGACTGGAATTAGGGAAGACACTTGTAGCAGGCAGTGGAGATAACTGCTGGAAGCCAGGAAGGCTTTTCAGCACTCAAGCAGCAATCAGGTGTTTTTTCTACAAGGACCACTGTAACTGAGCCAGGAGTTATGGAGTGTGAGGCAGGAGGCACAGGGTGAGACTCTTCAGATGAATTTATGGGCTTAATTTTGTATTTTTAGATTGCTCATAATAGTCACCAGCTCATGACAGATATGCTGCAGCCATGTGAGATGTGTCTGGACCCTGATCTTCTATGACCCCATGCAGAAAGAAATCAGCAGATTCTTATAGGGTCTGGCAGGGGAAAGAACGGGAATGTCTTCATGTAAACCTGGCATCCTGGCACCCCTGAAGCTGCTCTAAAATTTTCTTCACCTCTGCACACTTCCAGGGACAGTGACTCCACCACAGCCCTGCAGCCCGTGCCAGTTGCTGACCACCCTTTCTGCATAGAAAATTTCCTTCATAGCCAGCCTGAACCTCCCCTGGCACAGGCTGAGGCTGTTTCTTGCAGTTGAGCCAATTATTATCAGGGAGGAAAGAGTGACACCAAACTAAACTCCTGAAAGGTGGAGAGCAGGAAGGTTGTAGAGAGCAATGAATGGTGAGGTTCTGGGTTTCTGCTGGCACTGTGCAGTGGCACAGAAATGAGACCTGGGCAGGAAACAGTCTCTGCTTGCCGGGATCTGTCTGCATCCCAAACCTTAGAAACCCTGGTAAAGCTGAATTGTTGCCTCCTTAAACATTAAGATCTTCTAATTGCTTTTCACACCTTGTTTTGGCTTGGCCTCCTGAAACCTGGCAGAGGTTCCTTGGAGAGCTGGAGGTTGAAGAGGAGCTGAAGCCCTGACTGTCCTAGCAACACCCAAATCTCAGAGACCCAAAATTCAACAAATTAAATCAGAGACCAGGTATTCAAGAATTTTAGTTTCTCTTCTGGAAAAGCTGCCTTTGATCTGGGTTTATACACAACCCTTCTCCATTCAGAGCCTGTGCCATGATTTGGTTGTGTTTATAAAGGTTCAATGCTTTTAGGACACAGGAATGGCACTGCTCATCCTGACCCTCTCCAGAGGAAAGGAGCAGGATCAGAACCTTCCTCTGCTTGACAGCTTTTGAAATCAATCTGGTTGAAGAAAGGTCAGTTTGAAGCCACACACATTGGATGTGGTTAAGATTACTTGGGATTTTTTTCTACCCTAAACCAGAGTTGTCAACACACAAAGCTTTATCACAGCCCCACCTGCCTTTGCCTTCAACTGCAGCAGGAGCCTTGGAACCTCCCGAATTCCAGGTGGGCTTGAAGAGAGGTCAGACGGGCTAGTAAGAGTCTCTTTAGCTTTGGGAAGGTATTCACCTTAGAGTCTCACAAGTATTCCCAAAGAATGGGAAGGATCCGGGCAGAGGCTGACAACTCATCTCACCTGTGTCCTACAGCAGTGGACACAGTGCTGTGGGTCCCATGGCACGGGATTGGCTATTGTTTGTTCAGGAGTGCAGATTCCCTGGAGCAGAGCTGCTGCGTGTCTGGGCACTGCTGTTCTGAGAGGTTCTGCAGCTGGAACAAGCTTTGCTGCCCTTTGATATGGGAGAGCTGCCAGTGAGATTGTATTACCTACAGGAGCAAGGAATTCACAAGGAGAAAAAGCCAAATATTTGTAATCCTTCTAAAAACAGGCTTTGCACTTTGAGGCTAGGTTCAGGGTTTTCAAGGTCCGGCCTCTATTTTAAAAGCAGTGATTTTGCATTCCACAGCTGGGGTTTCTGATAACATCTCAAGATTGTTGTTGAACTCCTGCTCCCCATCATGTTCTGCAGCCACAGGGGCACTGACCTGAGGATCACAGAATCAATAACGTTGGAAAAGACCTCAACAACCATCGAGTCCAACTGTCAACCCTTCCAACTCCACACCTTGGTGTGAGGGGGAGCTCTGTGAGCCGAGTGTGGGATCACTAATAGGGCTCCCGAGGACCTCCTGCAGCAATACCTGGGCCTGGTGGATCGATGTTTACAAGAAAACATCATTAAAATGCACATCCCTTTCTCTCTGTGCCTGGCTTCCAAGCAGCGAGGCCAGGGCAGGGTCCCCAGCTGGCCCAACACGCAGACGTGGCGCGGGGCTGGTGCTGCTCATTCCGCTCCAGGGCGATTATTTGTGTTCCTTATGCCAGACCTCATTGCATCCACGAGCTGCTCTGCCTCTGTTTATTACATGGCCATTTGCACTTTCTGTTAATGTGCATTTGTGATGCAAGAGGCATCCCTGCCCAAATTTGAGGCTTCTGCCAGCGGGTTTGTCAGCCAGCGTGTGCAGGGATGGGGAGGTGTGGGGTATATGCAGTAACTGCTTTGGCTATCAATTTGCACTAATTGCAGAAGCCTAAAAGCACAGTGAGCTGTACAGTCCTGCATGTCTGGCTCAACAAGGGCAGAACAGCAAAATGTTGGCAACATCTGGTGTGGAGATATTCACCTGTAAAAGTCAGAGGATCTGCAGGGTTCTGCCCCAAGGAGCTGATGGAAAACCCCACTGCTGAGTGTAGCAGCCAGGAGGGTGTTAGAGTGGCTGTGCCTCAAACACCGATGGCCAGGGAAGTTAGAACTGGAAAGGGGTTGGAAAGGGTCTGTGCAGAGGTGGGGCAGCTCCTTTCTGGAGCCCATTTTCCTGCTCAGGTGCGTGGTGACCACACAACACACAGTGCTAGTGCAGAAGCGGAGTCAAGGAGTGGGCAAGAACAATAGAGGGGCATTAAGACCACCAAAAGACCCTCAAAGCCACCTAGCTCATTTCCAAACAGGTCCAGATGCAAGGGATGTACATGTTCACCATTTACACAACGAGTGAGAAGCCCAATCCTAGGGTAGGCAAATCTTTGCTATAAAAATGTGCTTCACAGAGCCCAGGTGGTGTCCCTGGACTCCCTGTGGGATGGATGGATGCTGAGCCCAGGACTCATGATCTCCTTTCCTCTCCTCTCTGTTCTCTTTCACTATTTCCTTCCTCTCTTTCTTCCTTTAATCTTTAATTTCTCTTCCTACTAAAAGTCAGGGACACAACAGACGATTCCTATGTCTTGTTTGATAATACAGCTATAAAACTTTGTAAACATTTCTTTTTTGGCCCCTTCTTGCTTTTGTCATTCTTTTTCAACCATGGGCATCTCTGAATCTTGGGTGCTCCCTTCCTTTTAGAAGTGGGACATGACACTGTGACATAGGAGTGTCACAGGGTGACACAAGCACAGAATGAGAGTTGTTCTAGAAGAGGTGACAGCTTGGACTCCCTGTTCTAATACTAGTTTTTCTCCCTTATTCTTTGAAAACACACACTTTCCAATCCTAGGCACTGCCTAGGCCTTGGCACTGCCTGCTGTCCCACCGTTTTCCACACATTTTGGTTCTCAGGAGTTTTGCACAAATTAAAGCAGATCATCTCACAGGGGATGAGGCAGAAATTGCTGCCTGTGGTTATATCCCTGTGAAGGTGGTGAGGTCTATGTCCAGCAATGCATGGACAGAGCTCCAGAAATCCCTGGCAGTCCTCCCCAAGAGCTGCAGTTCTGGCAGTGAAATGTGGGAATGGGAGAACACAGCCCTGGGGAGAATGGGTGCTGGGATATTCAGCTGACACCACTAAGGTCATCCCACCCCACTGATGCTGGGAGGTCACGAGCTGCTCCCTACAGTGACCTGAAAGGAGGCTGGAATCAGGCTCTGCTCCCAGGGGACAGACAAGGAATGGCCTCAGGTAGTGCCAGGGGGGGTTCACGTTGGACACCAGCAAAACTTTCCTCACTGAAAGGGTGGCTGAGCCTTGGCACAGGCCTGTGGTGGAGTCACCATCCCTGGAACTCTTCAAACAACAAACAGATGTGGCACTTCACATTGTGGTTTGGTAGGCCTGAGCAGTTTGGTCAAAGGTTGGACTTGATGATCTCGGAGGTCTTTTCTGGCCTGAATGATCCCATGATTCTCACAGGCAGAAATGGACATAGGGAAGCATCCCCTGGAATTAGGCCCTTGTTATTCCAGAGCCCTGTAATGGCTCAGCCACAAACCTCCTGATGGCTTTTTGATTATATGAATATCAACAACATCCACAAACTCCTGCTCATTAATGAATGAGATCTTAGAGAGGGGCCATTCAATGCACAGAGCAATTAACACAGCAGTTGATTAAGGCAGCTTGAGGATAAGTTCTATGAAGAATTCGATATTGCTGCACTGCTTTGTGTAGGGGCTTGGCAGAGGCATAAAATCATGAAAAATGTGACCTGTTAGCATCAGGAATTCAGGGCCCCTGGAGAGACATGAATTGTTTCTTATCTGTGGCTACCCTGGTCCCCAGGGACATTTAATCATTGCTGTGCAGAAAGGCCAAGTGCTGGGGTGATCCCCTGCTTGCAGACTCACAGCACCTTAAACTTGTCCCCCCAGCCCTGTCAGGTATCCAGGAGGTGCCGTCTGTGGGGAGGCAATTTCTGCTATGATGCAGCAGCCCATGGAACTGGGGATGTTTCCCAGAAAATAGCATGAAACCACACCCAGGCCCAGCCATGGTCTGTCACTGCTTGCATGTGCAGCCACCCACAAAGCAGAAGGAAGGCTGTGCACACCCCCCTGTCTTGAGAAAAAGACAGGGATTGAGCCAAGGAATAGAGGGAATGAGTGACCTCTGTGAGGCTGGGCACAGAGGCACTGCCAGACCTCAGCATCTCACACACTCTGGGCTTTCACCCTGGATTCAAGCAGCCAAACACAGGGGGAGGTGCTTGGAAAGGGGAGCCATCCTTGCCGCGGGTCAGAAGATACCAGAGGAAAGTGAGAGAAAAAGAGTCACAGAAACATGGAATGGTTTGAGTTGGGAGGTATCTTAAAGCTGATCCATTTCTACCTGTGGCAGGGGTTAGAATAGGATAAGCTTTAATGTCATTTTCAACCCAGACTGTTCCATGATTCTGTGATTCTCTGTGTCCCCAGGAGTGCTGCAAGGTTCCAGGCCATCTCTGCCTCACAAACCACCTCAGCACAGCCACATCTTTGGGAATATGTCAGGGATGCTCTACATGTGTATGGTGAGCCTGTTCCAGTAACCACAGGCAGTGCAGCGCTGTTGGGCAGGA